AAATAAAAGGAAATTACCAACATTAATGCAAGAATTAAAGAAAGCTAGGAAAAAAATGAAAATCAAACCCTAGATTCGATCGTTGGCTGTTGTTACGTAAATTTTGAAAGGGATACTAACTAGCAAGTACACTAGGTAGTTGTAGCAAGTAATAAAATTTGGAATTCAATATGAGTCCCAAGTATCATCCACCAGGATCTTATTTTCAATCACCACTTCACAATTTAACAATTAGTTGAACAAAATAATTCATTTGAAAGGTTTGTAACATGTAAAAGCAAGAAATAAGAACAATAAAAGGTAATAAACTTTCTGTAAAAACAGAGTATGAATTTTGTATTAAGAATGCTATATGGAAAATAGTTAAGAATCACTTCACTAGATTTTCAATTACAATGTAATCATGTTCTGAACTCTTGAGAATTTTAATTGATTGATAGTCAATTTCACTACTTTAACCAAAGGACAATTCCTTGCCTCATTGATCCTAATACCTAATTAAATCTCCCTAATTCCTTAGGTGAAATTTAATCAAATACTGTATTAAGTTATGAAAATTATAGGATTACTAGATCATGATACTTATTTCTAAGATCTCAATAATCTAGGCATATGATTCAGATTTGAGAAATAAACTCAATTTTCATTGATGAAGACTCCTCTAAATTCAATTGAATGAAGAATTAGTTCACAACTGCATTAAGAATAGAATCATATACTCAATTCAATTAAAATCTCAAGATCCAAATCCACAATTACTACACACTTCAAACAAAAGTTGAATTAACTAGCAAGTGTACTAGTGTTATTGTAACAAGTTATAAAAATGATAGAACTGTGTTACAGTCCCAAGTATCGATCTCAAGGAATAAAATTGTTCAATTACCACTTCACAAGGCCACAATTAATTGAGCTTCATGAATTTCAGAGAGTGTTTGGAATTAAACTTGACAAATATTAAAATCAGAAGAAAAACAGAACAATGAACAAGTAAATGTGTGAAAATAGATGTAGAAACCATAATTAGGGAGTTATTTCACTAAAACTTCAATGTTGAATCAATAAGGTGCTGAACTTTTAAGTAATTGGAAAGAATGAAAATCAGTTTCACGTTGTATTGTTTAGAGGTTAATTCCTTAACTCAGTGAACCTAACATTCAATCAAATCACTCTAATTCCTTAGATTTGGTTTAATTAAATGTTGCATTAGGTGTTAGAAACCAGAAGATTGTAGAATCAAGTTATCTTATTCCTAAGACATCTATAATCTTGGTAATTGATTCAAATCTGAAGAACAAATTCAATTTTCATTGACAAGAGTTTTTCTGTAATTAGTTAATCAAATTTCCATTTAATCACTATGTAAAGGCAGAATCAATCACTCAATCCATTCCAAAACTCAAAAGTCAGATCCAGAATCAATTCAACATGTTCATTTTGGGTCCACAATCTCTAACTATGAAGAAATTACACAGTCATTACAGCAGGGAAAGAAAAAGAAAGAGAAGAAGAGAAAGAACGCAGAAGAAGCATCTTCAACCGATCTTCAATCTTATTCCTCTAGGTTGAAGTTCGGTGTTCATCCCCAATCCCTCTCTCAGACTCTCTCCACACCAAGGAACAAGGTGAGAACGAAAAATGAACAAAAGATCGTAAAATCTGAATATTTTTGCAATTTAAAGATTTTTTTGCCTCTGCGCGTTATCACTTTGCTTCACAAGAGTAGCCACGCAGAGGCTTATATGGTGTTGTGCGCGTGTTCACTTTCATGAGTAAAAGTGACTATACGCTAAGTTGCCAAGTTAAGGTCTCTCTGGGACGTTCACTTTCGTTGGTAAGAGTGACTACGCACTTCTCGCTATGTATGGAACTTCTCTAGAACATCCACTTTCGCCAGTAAGAGTGGTAACGTGCTCTTTGTTGTGAATGGGTTCCTCTGGAAAGATCACTTTCACTGACAATAGTGATCACGCCGAGCTTACATTCCATTAAACCTTGTTCTTTGAGTCCAGACTTGCTACTTTTCTTCTATCTTTCCATTGATCTTCCATCTTCATGAACTTTGCTCAGGATATTCTACAAAAACATGCTTGAATTATTAATTTCTATACAGAAAATACATGAATGCTAAAATAACTTTGTATTTAAAGAAAACCTTCAATCATTCTATTTTTATGAGTTTTTCTGCTTTTTCCAACATATTTTTCTTATCAAATGGATTAAAACTATAGTAAAATACTAGTAAAAATATGGATTCATCAATTACATCACAATATCAAATCTAGATCCATATATCCTAACCAAAAAGGTTTAGAACAACATTACAAGAAGTAAGAGAAAAAGAAGACAAGAAGCAGAAGAACATCTTCCAAAACCCAATCTTCACATTGATTCCTCTAGCAATGAAGCTTGAAAGTCATTCCCAATCTCCCTCTCTGACTTCCCCTGGAAGTTAAAACAGTTACAAAGTAAAAATAACAAAAATGAACCAAAATCCCATTTTCTGAACCTCTAACTTCTATTTATAATGTTTTTTTTCACCTTTTTCCTTTCCACACATTAATCTCTGAGAATTCTAGCATAAAAGATCTTCTAGAAGCTTATATAACTGAATTAGGAACTCAAATCGTCCAAAGTTGATACTTAGAATTGATATTTAAAATTCTGTTACTTTTGCGTAGACACTTCAAGTGGTTGAAGTGTCTACGTGCAAGTGTTCTCATGGGAAGATCCTCATGCGTAGCTACTCTCAGCGCTTGGAGTGGCTATGTGCTTACTGCATAGCTACTCTAAACAATTGAAGTGGCTACGCGCACTGTGCATAGTGAATTGGCCTTGGGCGTAGCTGCTTTGTACGCTTAGAGTTGCTACTTTCTTGGTCTTCTTGGATTTTCTTCTTCAAAGTGTTAACTCTATGTACTCAGAGTGGTTACACCCTACATATAACACTTGATTCTTCATCTTTTAAGCTTAAATCCTCTACTTTCTTCACTTCAATCTTCAATTCAAATTTTCATCTCAAGCTTCTACACAAGGATTAAGTCATTTTAAGTCAAATTGTTCAGAATTAGACTAAAAAGCTAAAATTCAAAACTATTTACACAATTATGAATATTGATGCAATTTTTATGATATTTCCAAGTTTACTTCGCACTTTACTACTTATTTATTAACAAAACTATACTAAAAATTACGGTAAAATGTGAATTTATCAGTACTCTACACTATCACACACACATACATAAGCATAGAGTCTCACCTTGCCCATTCCACACATTTTCTAACATAATTTGAATCATGCATCAACTAGTGTAAGGTAATAATTTCATCATTCCATTCTTATTCACGCACAGGTGCGCTCACTGCATCATCAAATAACTCACATAAAACACTTACGTGCACTCATTGCATGTTAGCCACGCTCACTGCAAGAGTGTCGCGATTAGAAGAGGATTTAAAGGGGTTAGGGTTTGGGAAAGTTTCATTTCTCACTTTCCCTTCGAGATTTCTTCGATTCTTTCACTCCCAAACCCTATTTCACCGATTAAATTTCCTCTAAGCTACTTAGGAGCAAGATTGAAGGTTGGAATTATGTAGGGAATGCTTGGAGGTGAGTTTTAATGGTTAAGGTTTCGATTTCTCATCTTTTTCCTTTGATTTCTCAGTTTTCCTGGGTTCTTATGGGGTTCTTCCCTGTATTTAGGACAAAGTTCATCTGGAGGAGCGCCTACCTTGTTGTTTTGGTGTATGGGTCTTCATTTGAGGTAAGGTGGGACTCTACCCTATCTCATTATGTTTAATTTATCGTTTATTTCGTTAAATGTTACAATGTGGCTGAGATAGATAGTAGATGTGTGATGTGATGGAAATTATTACGTGTTGAATATATTGTGGTTTGATTTCGGGGTTGACATACCCTTAATTGAGAATGTAAATGTGAATGTGTAAAAAATGATGTGTAATGGAATATGGGCACTTGTGTTGTGTGTTAAAAATGAATGTGGACCTACGTGTTGTGTAATGTGAATAAATGTAGGAATGTATGTCGTATGCGAATATGAATATTGTGTGTAATTAAAAATGTGTGTGAATGAGGCATGTTGAACGTCGTTGTAATGATGTTATGGATGGTTCAGCGATATATTGGAGGTGTGGAAGATGGGGATGATAGAAATACCTTGGGGAAGAGAGACTGGTGGTGACACCAACAGTGAGCGTAAGTGCACCATGGGCCACACACTCTCCTCCAAACTAGACCTCTGACCACTACCTTTGCTGAGGACCTGTGACTGCCCACGCAATATCTGTGAGGCAGGGGTAACCAACGACCATTCATTGTGTGAAACTGTGATCACAGTGCCATAGTGAGCGTGGCTAGGTGCGGTAAGCACACATGTGTGAAATGTTGGTGCAGCGAGTGTATCAGTTCTGTTTTGAATTTGAATAAATGATGAATGATGATTGTGACTGAGATTGACATGTTTGTCTTGTAAATGCATGATTTAACTATGTTAGTAAATGTGTAGTATCTGAGGTGAGTCTTTATGTTTATGTGTGTTAGATAGTGTAGAGTACTCATCCTTCCATTTATTTTTCAGGTGACCAAGACAATCAGTACCGGACTCAGTGAAGGAGGGATGAACTGCTATAGGACTTAGATTGTATTTTGAAACTATGATGTAACTGAATTAGTCCTGTAGCAGTCTTTGATATAAATTTGTAATCTTTTATTATTTTGAACTGTTTTATGAAACTCTGATGGGATGATTTTAATCTAAATGAAAGTCTTATTACTCCCATTATGCAAAATTATTACTTGGAAATTAAACAAAGGTGTTACAATTTTGGTATCAGAGCAGTTCATTCAAACTGGACTGGGGTAACGGGCTAAAGCGACCAAGTTGAGTGTTGATTTGTTTTGCTTACCTGAATTATAAATGTTGTCATTAACCTGATGGTTTGAATTGTGGTTTGCTGAATCCTTATAGCTTAGATTAAACATGGCTGGTAGAGGTAAAAGGGTTAGAGATACTAATGACCTCATGGAGCGCATGGCTCAAATTCCAGAGACCTTGGTGCATAACCAGGGTGGAGAGTCGGCCGAATACCGAGGGTTGTCTGCCTTCACTAGGCACGATCCTCCAAAGTTTGAGGGAGGATTCAACCTTGAGGGAGCCCAAAGGTGGTTGGCTAATGCAGAGAAAGTCTTCAATGCGATGAGGTGCCGTGAGGAACACAAGGTGAACTGTGCCACCTACCTGCTATGTGGGGAGGCGAAAGACTAGTGGAGATTTGTCGATCAGACATTGCCACAAGAAGGTGGCTACATTCAATGGGAGACCTTTAAGGTGATCTTCCTAGGGAACTACTTTCCCCAGGATTTGAGGAAGCAGAAGGCCCGTAAATTTCTTGAGTTGAAGCAAGGAAACATGACAGTGAGGAAATATGCAACAAAATTTCAAGAGTTGATGAAGTACTGGGCTCACTACCAACATGAGGATAGTGAGGAGGACTTGTGTGCTCAGTTTGAGCACAGGCTAAGGCCAGACATCTGAGCTGTAGTCAGTGTGTTCCAGCTGACAGACTTGCCCATTCTGGTGAGCAAAAGTAGAATCTTTGAAGCTAACTCGAGGGACAAGTCAGTGGATACTAGGGGAGCCGGTCCAGTGAGGCAAGATAGAAGACCCTTTAGATTCTCCAAGGGGCCATACTCAGGCTCGAGTAATTCTCAGTTTAGAGGGAGCTCATCACAAGAGAAAAGTAGTGGGAGTGGCTCAGAATCAGGCTCTTTCAGAGGACTAATCAAGTGCTTTAGGTGTGGAGGGCCACACATGGTGAGAGACTGCCCACAGCCAAAGATATGCTGCAGTAACTGTGGGAAATTAGGGCACATTGCTAATGTGTGTTGGGCCACCAAGAGGAGTAGCAGTTCAAGTACAGCTCAGAGGTCAGAATCCAGAGGGAGCATAGGGCTGAGTACAGGGCCAAAGCTGAGCATTCCAGATAGAGTCTTTGCCATGAGTGGAGTGGAGGCTTCGCAATCTGAGGAACTGATCTGAGATAAATGTATAATTAAGGGCAGATTGCTAGATGTGTTGTTTGACTCGGGTGTTACGTACTCTTTTGTTTCTGTGGACTGTGTGAAGAGTCTGAGTCTGCATGTGACTGATTTGCCACGTAAGCTAGTTGTGACGTCGTGGGTGTGCTTGGGATGCTCTATAATGGTGCATGGTAGGGAGTTTGAGGTGGACTTGATCTATTTGCCTCTTTCTCAACTAGACATAATCTTAGGAATGGATTGGCTTGCTGCCAACCATGTGCTACTGGATTGTAGAGAGAAGACACTGATCTTTGGTGCATCGATGTCAGAAGTTCTGAGGCTGTTAAGTCATGATGCATGGAAAACACAGTGAATGCCAAGGCCTTTATGATTATGTTCTCAATAGAGGCCGAAAGCGTGGTAGAGCCAGAGTATATCCCGATGGTGAGGGACTTCTTGGAAGTTTTCCCTAATGATGTTTCTAAGTTACCACCTGAGAAAGAGATAGAGTTTTCCATCGACCTCATTCTGGGAGCAAGCCCGATTTCTGTGACACCTTATAGGATGTCACTTGTGGAGTTGATGGAGGTCAAGAAGCAGGTGGAAGACTTGTTGCAAAAACGGTTCGTAAGGCTGAGTGTATCACCTTGGAGAGCACCAGTGCTCTTGGTGAAAAAGAAGGATGGCAGCATGAGAATGTGTGTAGACTACTAACAGTTGAACAAGGTGACGATCAAGAACAATTTTCACTTCCAAGGATCGATGATTTGATGGACCAGTTGAGAGGAGTTGCGATATTCTCTAAGATTAACTTGAGGTCAGGGTACCATCAGATCAGGGTAAAGGATGAGGATATGCCCAAGACAGCGTTCAGGACGCGGTATGGTCATTACAAGTATTTGGTGATGCCGTTTGCGGTGACCAATGCGCCTGCGGTATTCATGGATTACATGAACAGGATCTTCCATGAGTTTTTGGATAAGTTTGTGGTGGTGTTCATCAACGACATCCTAATTTATTCAAAGACTCAAGAAGAGCATGCCAATCACTTGAGGATTGTTTTGCAGATTTTGAGGGAGAGACAACTGTATGCAAAATTTTCCAAATGTGAGTTCTAGCTGTCAGAGATCTAGTTTCTGGTGCATGTAGTGTCGAAGGAAGGAATTATGGTAGACCCCGCAAAGGTGGAGGCAGTGGCTGGATGGCCGAGACCGACGAATGTGACAGAGGTTCACAGTTTTCTGGGACTAGCAGGTTATTACAGGAAGTTCATTGAAGGATTTTCGAAGATAGTTTTTGTAACATCCTCATTTTTCTAAACAGTTAATTTGTTAATATAATTATAATTTAGATTATAATTCTTCAATTTTTTTGGAAAAAAAATAATTGCTCATTTATACCGGTTAAAATTGCTCTATGAGGATAAAAATAACATTTATAATTACGAAGAATTATTTTAAATAATAAAATTTATATTTTTAATTAGAAATAATATTTGGAGTGTAAAAATAATTATTTTGGTAATTATTGCTTATTTTTAGATTTTGGTTGATACTGTTTTATGTGTTAACAGGAACTGTGTGATTAGTTTTTTTCCTTTTTCTTTTTCTTTTTAAGTGATAACCAATGAGATATTGATGTCAAAAATTATGTTATAATTATTTTAATTGTTTGGCATCAATTATTTTTATTTTTGAGTTTTATTCATAATTATTTTATTTAATTACATTAAAATAGCAAAATAATTGATTATTATATTATTATTTCTTTACCTATTTGACTAAATTGACCACTTTCTTACGTGAACCTTCTTCTTCTCCAAGTCCATAACCCCTTCTTCTCCCTTTCACCATTTTTATTTTCTTCCACTCATTTAAGCTTGTTTTAAGGTATGTTTTTAATATATATCCTTAATTAAGCTTAATTATTTGTTAATTATCATTTCATCCGATTAAAATTTTAATTTTTCCATGTTTTTTTGGCTGTCATGAACAGTAAAAATGGGTCTTACTTTGCTTCAAAATTATTGGTTTTAAACTTGCTTTCTTTTGTACTATATGTAGACTATGCATGGCTTAGATTGTTTACATAATTAGTTTTTCAAAAATGTGATTAAAAAGCACTAAACCCTCACAAGGGTTGGCTGCCATGTGGTTTTAGAGAAGGTGAAGTGAGTGTTTTTCACTTCCATTTTATTCCTTTTATATTAGTTAGATGATAGAAACTAATTTTGTGTTAATCGGACTTTTATAGCAAAAGTTAGAAAATTTCAATTTTTACATATACATATAAGAGTATAAAATTAGCATCTCCTTAGTATTAATTATGTTTAGGCATGATTAATTGATTAGGTTAATCGTTTCAAAGATTGGATTGTTCGAGTTTTTCTAAAGAATCAGAAAAAAAAATTAAATTCATCCATACCTTCATCAAAGAACATTTGTAAGGTAAGGGGTGGGATGATTTTATTTCAATAGGTGGCATTAAGAACCATAAGGGAATAATTCTCTATTTTTCTAATCAAATAAAATGAATTTGGGTTGTTTTAGAGCTAACCCATAATTTTTAGAAGATTTTGTTATAGTACTGGACATGTATGAAAGGTTGCCTTAGACCAGGAAATTGATTGAACAAGGACTCTCCCTTATATGTAAGCTCCTTTGTGTATTTAAATTAATGTATTGGAATGATTTATGGTTGAAGTGCTGTATTGAATTATTTCTTTATAATTGGTTGAATTCTCATTATGTGTTTGTGTAGATATTCTTGTTGGTATGAATGCCATATAATGGTAAAGATTGGAAGTAATTTAGTTTTATGTGATGTGAGCATATAGATTGACATAATCTAAATGTCCATTCAGACTTGTTGGAGAGAAGAAAATATGTTTTTAAGGTGTAAATATATATATATATATATATATATATATATATAATTATGTATTTTATATATAGTACAAGTATCTTTTGACTTCTTTGGAAAATGGATTTAATAAAAATAAATAAATAAATTATATTACTGAGAAAGTAGTATTGGATATTTGGAAGGCTTGAATCATTTTTTTTTTAAATGATTAAGTCCTCAATTTTTAAGCATGAAAACATATTTAAAGAAAGAGGGGAAGATACGATTTTCTTGGATTTTGAGGTGATGGAGGTGGAATTTAATGAATTAGAAGTATTCTGGATTTTTTCTGGTTGTTTTACAGGAAGAAGAAAATTTTGGAATATCTGATTTACAGAGGAGACTCTGTCGAATTTCATTGAGAAAAGAAAAAGTTAAGGATTGTACTTAACAAAAAAGAAAAATTAAATTTTTTCTCTAATTAAATTAATTAGGAATGAAGACATGCATCATGAACATGTGATAGTGTGATGAGTGGACAGGGAAGTATAAGAAATCTAGGGGCGGCTCCAGGGTAGTCTTGGGGATAGTGACGTGTGATTGAATCTGACAGTGGCCAAGGCTCGCCACCTTGTGCTGTGGACTCTCACTGCAAAACTTTACTATCCTGACTGGTCCCGAGAGATTCTTGTATTAGTAGAGTTGTTACTGTATTATGAGATTAACAAAGTTGGCAGTTAAGTAACAGTGAAACTCCTGATCCTTCCCTGAGTAAAAGAAACAGATTAATGGTTCTGGGCCCACATGCATGTGTCAAAATGTACTAAGTTATAATAATAGACTTGCATCATTTCTCATTCATGGCATATGCATTTGCTTGGTAGATTACGGGTGTTGATAATTAATTGTGTGATTGAAACCCTTATATGTCTTTTGCTGCTGGAGATTGAATCGAATTGTCTCACCCTTTTATTGCTATGTGTGTTGTGTGTGAATATGTTTATTAGGTAAGAACATTGATGGCTCGACCACCGTACCAATTCAGCGTCTTGATCAGATATGATCCCGAGGGAAGATGGGTGCACGACTGGGAGCAACAACGATTCACCCACACTGGATCTATTACCTTTTTGTTAGATAGAAATGGGCCAGGCCCACGAGCTTACCCTATCCCCATCCGAGTACCCATGAGACTTACTTTTCCATTTCCTCCAGATGTACAGTTTGTGTGACCCCCTACCCCACCTCCTGTCCCTGTATTATCACCCCCGGTATTACCCCCAGGTTTTCTTAGACCTTTACGTCCTTCTATACCATATTTACCACCTGTTGAACGGACTAGTTTAGTTGACACACTTTTAGCAAGACCTATCTCTATCTCATCCACTTCCTCTTCGTCTTCCTCTAGTTCTTCAGACTCTCCTGATTCTTCTCACTGTTCAAACACCTCTACTGCTATCGGAAGGAAGAGGACTGCTTCTCAATCAGGACTCCTTCCTAATTTTACCTCCTCTGAGTAGGAATCTAGTGGAAAAGGAGAGTAGGATAGAGTCGAGTAAGGAATAATCTATACATATACGTAGGTGTAAGTACTTTTGACTGAAAAGAAAAAGGGGTATATAGGAAGCCTAACCTTACCGTTGTTGAATTTTGGGAGGAAATGGGCACTTTGATGATCATGGATCCAAGGGAAAGCTCGTGAGGTCTTTGTTTTGGGTTGTCATCTCTGATCGTGACCCCACTTTATTTCGTATGTAATTCAGTTATGTATATATTTAGATAACTGGATGATTGTATAAATTAACAGATGACGTGTATGTATGAAATGAAGACTTCTAGTAATGGTAATGTATTTAATTTCACTATATCTGAATAAATATATATATACCCATGCATGTGATGTTCTTACTGCTTAGTTATTTTATGATTGTATTTATATTTATTGCTTAGTAAGTAGTAAGGGTGTCACAGTTTTGCCCTTAACGAAATTGACCTACAAGGGTAGGGAATTTAAGTGGACCAAGAGGTGTGAAGCTAGTTTCTTAGAGCTGAAAATAAGGTTAAAGTCAACGCCGGTATTAGTTCTACCCGACCCGGAGAGGAAGTTTGACGTGTATTGTGATCGTCCAGGCAAGGACTTGGGGTGTGTTTTGATGCAAGATGGATGAGTGGTTG